AATGTGTCTCAGCAGTTTGTGAACACAACCACCCTACAATGATAAAAATCCATTCACTACTTTTTTTTTTATCCCAAAAAAAACTATAAACTGTCTCAATAATCAAGCCGTTTTGATTTTCTGAGCAATATGACGTCATAATGCTCAGGCCCTGCCCACGACCGCTGACAGACTGTCCCGTATTAGCATCGATGCGTCCAAAATCACATACTGTCTGAGTAGACGCTACATTTGAATTTGAATTTACTTCATGATGTTAAAAAAGTATGTTCTATATAGTATGAATATGAATAGTATTAATGAAATTCGGACTTACTACATCCGCCATGTTGTTACTGTCACATGACCTACCAGCGTCATTATCCAAAACAATGTTGTATTTGTACTTTACAAACCCCAGTGAGCAAGATAAAAAATTACAAAAGAATAAACACGGATACTTACACTTGCATTCTTATATATTGCAAGGAAGGAAGAAACACTTAAAAATCTAACTTTATATAGAGATTATTTATTTATTATTTGCAATATGGTGGTTCTGCTTTATTTTTTCTTACTATTCATTAAAGAAAAAACAAAATCTAAGGCTTTCAATGCAATATCATAATCACAATTAATCTCAGGATTTCTGACCAGTCTTTAAAAACAGAAATAAACCATCAAAATTTACAATTCTGTACATGTATTCACAGTGTTATCAATGTAAATTTTATCACATCAAACATAATTCATATCTTGGTTTGTTAACTTTGAAAGTCCCAAAAATGCATATTGTAAAAATGTTGTTGACCACCCAGAACCTCTTTATACAGTTTGAAAGCCCTTTTCCTAGAAAACTGCAACAAGCCATCATTGAATGAAGGCCGCCCATGCAGTGATTGAATGAGCTTCTACATCACACTTGGCTGAGAGTCCATTTCTATCCCTACTCAGTGAAACGCAAGTGGCTTTTGCATACTAGCCATGGCATTTGAACACTGGCTTGGAAAGTGTGCCATTGTTTTCAAGTATAGGCTGACTCATGGCCCCTCTGGCCTGATATCTGATTACAGCTGAGCGAAACGCAAACATCCAACACAGATCTCAAAGCTACTCATGTAGACAGATTTGGTCTGAGAGAATGAGTAAAGTAAAAACAGCAACCGTAATTACAGCCCTCCCGTTACAGACAAAGCCTTATCTTTCATTATGCCACAATAAAGCTGTGAACTTTTGTCCAAGATAGAAGTAGGGGCATGTTATGCAAAAACTGGTGGTAGGCCAACAAAGTTGCTCATATTTCTATCTTGTTGCGTGGGAAATTAAAGGGAAAATGGAATGCCGTTGACAGATTTCAAAGCGACAGCCAAAGTTTTCAACAAACCTGTATTGTGATTTGTTGATCTAACCCATTTCAGCACTGAGACATATGTGAATTAATGCTCGTCTCCTCCACCCAGTGCATTTCACTATGTTAGCCTCATCTGTTCAGGATGTCCTCCCTCACTGATCTGGTGACATAATACTCATTTCAGCCCACACCCATGAAAATTTTCTCTCTTTCTCTCCGATGTGAGTCAATGACTTCAATTTGCTCTATTTTTCGCTGGTTTCACTCCAGCATGATGGTGGCTCCTCCCTCTCTCCAGACACATGTGAAATTCCCAAAGTCGTTCCGCATCCAAAACTAATAACGAAAACTGGTGGTAGGCCAACAAAGTTGCTCATATTTCTATCTTGTTGCGTGGGAAATTAAAGGGAAAATGGAATGCCGTTGACAGATTTCAAAGCGACAGCCAAAGTTTTCAACAAACCTGTATTGTGATTTGTTGATCTAACCCATTTCAGCACTGAGACATATGTGAATTAATGCTCGTCTCCTCCACCCAGTGCATTTCACTATGTTAGCCTCATCTGTTCAGGATGTCCTCCCTCACTGATCTGGTGACATAATACTCATTTCAGCCCACACCCATGAAAATTTTCTCTCTTTCTCTCCGATGTGAGTGAGTTTCACTCCAGCATGATGGTGGCTCCTCCCTCTCTCCAGACACATGTGAAATTCCCAAAGTCGTTCCGCATCCAAAACTAATAACGAAACCTCCCTGATTACTGTCACGCTTTCCTTATGTGGCGTGGCTTGCCGTGAGTTGTCATTACTAAACCAGCCTCTTCTCGAAGCAGACGGGCCTCAGGGACGTGACTCACCAGGACAGACTGCTACAAGGAACGCTTGCTAACGGCTAATAACGGGAAAAGACTTTAGTCACAACATGTGTTTTGAGGCATCAAACTTTTGGCATGTGATAAAATGTAATCACTACAAAACATATTTGAGATTGGACTTGCGGTGCAGAAGTTAGATGTAATCGTACAGTCATGTCAAGTGGTTTCCAGCAAACAAACAAAATACAAACTTCGTTACTACGACGAATATGCAAAGTACTGTATTGTCATATCACTTTTTCCACAGATTGATATTGGGTATAAAGGGTTAATGAGGAGGAGCCTTTGTGAAAAAGTGCAATTTAGCATACTTTTAAAAAGAGTACTTGTTACGGAAATAATATACTTTAAATGAATACACTTAAGTGTGAACACCATGTAAAGTATTCAAACACTTAAGTGCATGTTAAATGAAAATTTATAGAAAAATATAATAGTTTTCATTTAGATTAAATGCAGTTAGCTGAACTTTAGAGTGCTTTTTGATCCACTTAGGTATAGACGTTAAGTACATCTTTCACAATTACTTCTATTGTCTTTGAAATATGGTTAAGTGTACTGCTGAATCTACTGACTTTAATATAATTTTCTGTGTCATGTGTTTAAATGTGACCCTGGACCACAAAACCAGTCTTAAGTCGCTGGGGTATATTTGTAGCAATAGCCAAAAATACATTGTATGGGTCAAAATTATAGATTTTTCTTTTATGCCAAAAATCATTAGGATATTAAGTAACGATCATGTTCCATGAAGATATTTTGTAAATTTCCTACTGTAAATATATTAAAACTTAATTTTTGATTAGTAATATGCATTGAACTTCATTTGGACAACTTTAAAGGAGATTTTCTCAATATTTAGATTTTTTTGCACCCTCAGATTCCAGATTTTCAAATAGCTGTATCTCGGCCAAATATTGTCCTATCCTAACAAACTATACATCAATGGAAAGTTTATTTATTCCGTTTTCAGATCCAGGGTTAGGGTTAGGGTCAGGGTCACAAATATGTTTGTAATTAGACATTTGTAATGATGAAGTTGCAATTTAGTACATTTGAAATATATTAACTTATAATATTGAATAACACACTACAGTAAAAATTCAAAATCAAGTACTTTATAAAATAAGTGTACTTCTTTAAAGCATTACAAAAGATTATTTGAACATAATGATTGAAAATGTACCTTAAAGTAATTTTTTTTATTTCACATTGTTAAAAAGGGCACTTTTTAAACGTGTACTAAAGTGTAAAATCTGTCATGAAAGTGTCTCTCTTTAAGTACCTTTTATTTTATTTTATTAATATGATATTTTCCGTGAGTACAATTTCTTAAATACTTTTAAGATTTGAAGTACACTACAAGTGCACATTCAATACAACTAAGTGCACTTCTTTTTCACAACGGACATTCTGGTGCTTTTGGTGCGGACCTGTTTGACGTCAGTTTGGTTGTGGTGAAAGAGATTTTCAAAACTCTGGTACAGTTTGCAATCGATATGAACACAATCTGTCCTAAATCACAGAAGTTAAAACTCAAATGACAATGTGAAAGCTCATTGTGCATTAATGTGGAAGACAAAGTTATAACCACATTTAGCCTTAAAATACATGATCTTGACACTGGGACGATCCATTCTGCTGGTTTAGTGATCAATAAACTAAATGAAGCCAGACCGAGAGCTCTCTGACTCTAGCAGCATGTTGATTTAAAGCATACACGCTCATCTCAGTCTCAATCATGACTCACTTTGGCATCTTTGACTGCTTCGGCACAAGGAAATGTTTAAGTCAGAATATTGAATTTCCCTATAGTAAATAGATGTTGTCTTAATAGGATGGAGTCATATGGCCTGTGGCTCTTTCTGTCAACCTATATTATAAACAATTACATTTTTGGCATCATTCATTGTGCACATGTGAGCCATAATTAACCTTCACAGGGAGGAAACCCTTTGAGATTAAAAAGGCTGAGATCACATTAATCATTTGGGATGCAAAATCTAATTTAAACCTGAAAAAAAAATCTACAAAGTTTTAGGATTTTTAAATTACCATCACAGCTTCCATTTAAATTCATGGGCTGGCACAGGGAACGCCTCCCTCACTGTATTTACAAACACAGCTGCTGCCATGGGAGTCCTGATGAGGGCGTGACAAAGAAAGGGGCGCTTATAGTCACGCTGACTGCACCAAAACATGTTCAAGCATTGAGAGGGTCAAGCATTTGCAAGGAGTTACGAGGAGAAACATGCAAGTCTAGCAAATGTTTTATTCAAAAAGTTTGATAAAAGTTTAAATCCGTTTGTATATGACTTCAAAGTGACTATGAGGGGATCTATTTACTATGCAGTCCAGATGCAGACGTAAACGGACACATGCTAAAATTCTGGGCATACCGTGGGGCCACTGGGAGGGGCCTATGGGGCTCCACACACACTAGTACACACTATAAACACTCGCACATTGAGACGCACCCTATGCCACTATATCGCACTGTTCAAAATGAAGGACAAAGTTGACCTTGCTGTAAGTGCGCAAAACCTCTCTGTGACATATGCATACAACTAATATCATGAGATCATTTATGATAAGACACCATTGTGAATGACGTTTAGGCTATTAAAGGGTTAACTTTCCCCTTAAATTCTACCAACATAAATGTAAGTTTAAATCCTTTCTGGAAAAAGTTTTAAGAGCTTGAATAAATGCTTTATTACATAGGCTATTTAAGCTATTTTTCTATCTAAGCTTTTAAAGTGAGAAGTTGTGAAGAATGGGAGGGAAAAGAAAGAGTGTGACGTAGTGACGCTCCAGGGCGGTGTTCTCACGTTTCCGAAAAAAGAAAGAAAAAAAAAAAGGAGGAAAAAAAGCAAATACTGCTGTGGTACTACATCTGGAATACAGAGACTCGTGCTTTGAGAATCTATAGTGGGATCCCATAGTAAAGGCAACCCAGTGTTTTCTTCCTGCTCTTTTTCGCTTTTCAAGGATTTTTTTCCCTCTCTCACTCACCTGTAAGTTGGAGAACAATGGAAGTTTTCTTTTTTTCATTTGGTTCATTTATGGAATATTTGTACTCATTTCAGGAGATACTCAGCCACGTTTGTTTACTATTAACGTTATTTTCCTTCTGGAGACGTCCTAACCTCACATCGTTTGTCTTTTCTCGGGAAGTTTGCTGTTTTATTCAAAGTTTATTATTATTATTACGCTATTTATAGTTTTTTTTTGCTTGTTTATTAAGTTCGTTTGTTAATTATAGTATTAGTATTGGTTTTCCATTGTTAGTCCTAATAGTCGTATTTTGATATGAGCACATCTAAAGTTTTGATTTCAGTCATAGTCGCTCGCGAAGTTTTGCAATAACTGGTCTGGATGAAAACTGCTTTGGAATCTTTCCCTCCTTTTCTTTTTGTCTGCTTCCGAAATCTGCCTCAATTCGTACTCATTGATCATTTTAATTATTACATTTTTGTTAGCTTCTCATAATCTTTACTTTCTGCGGGCGGGGGGGGGCGACGACAGATAAACAGTTAAGACGTGACGAAAAAAAGGCGGCACCTCGAGAAAAAAAACGTGACGTGACTGCATGTGGGATGTGTTTTTCTGATAAATATAGACATTTAAATGGCTTTTCAAACATTGCAGTGTGATTAGTGTAATTATCAACGTAATGTATCCACAATACAGATGTTTTCGATTAATATGAAGGAGAACAAAAAAAGAAAATAGACAGAACTTAAGGGGTGTTTGGGTTGAGATACGTTTGACAGCAGCGCGATCTGGTGGCCAGATGTGGAAATGCAGGGGTAAACGCTGCCCGCGATAAAGCCCCCAGGTGTGTGATTGAGGAGAAGATGTGATTACTTTCTCTTTCTGTTCTTTTAGACGAACCTCAAAATGCTGGCCATTCTGTTCGCAACGATAGTCTTGCATCTGACAGACCTTATCATTCTCTTCGTTTCCACATGTACTAATGTGAGTATCATCTTTGAGGTCTGACTTGCTTGATTTGCCTTGCGTTAATGGGTCGTATTTTTGAGCTGGAATGTAGTGAAGGATTGGTTTATGTGTATATGTAATTAAATGGGTGTTTTTTTATAAAAAATAAAAAAAAACACAGGCCTGGAGAACACATGGAGTTACGAGTTATGACCTCTGGTATGACTGCACACAAAGTAATGGAGGATATCACTGCCGTGGGACTAGTGATGCTGGTGAGTTCAAACAGTCTTTAAAAAGTCTTAGATTTTAAAATTGAGTCTAATATTCCATAGTTCCATAGTTATTTAAAAGTTCCAAATGGGCGCATCAACAGTACAACAACCAAATGTGTTCTTATTTGAGAAAGAGAAACATATGACTTAAGAATAGTATATGTTTATACTATCTATGTAAGTGTTCATTCTGATTTTCCGTCTGTGTTTCTCTACAATCTGTCAGACTGGCTTCAAGCAGTTCAAGCCCTCATGGTCCTAGCCACCATTTTCAGCCTGATCTCATTCATCATCTTCCTCTGCCAGCTCTTCACTCTTGTAAAGGGAGGTCGCTTCTTTTTCACGGCCGTCTTCCAGGTCCTTGCCAGTGAGTATTTCCTCTCCGGGTCTATTAGATCCCATTTCTCTTGTCCGAGCTGAAAGACCCCGTTTACATGTTTTTATTCTTTCTCTTTCTGTCTCCCGAAGGTCTGTTTGTGATGAGCGGGGCCATCATCTACACAGTGATGAGTCCAGAGTGGAAAAATGAGAGTGATGGTTATGGATACGCCTTCGTCCTGGCCTGGCTGGCTTTCCCTCTCACGCTCATCAGTGGCTTCATTTACATTGTCCTGAGGAAGAAAGAATGAGAGTTCAGCCCTCAGGGATTGTTGTAGAACTGAGAACACTACTCAGATGACAGACTCTAACCTAACGGCCGTCTCCTCCAAGCCTGAATATTTAGACCTAATGTGATCAAAGAAACTGACAGAAGATTGAGTACAGCAAAGACACAGTGTGCATGACACAAAACAATGTGTCTTTGACTGGTGAGCCTATTTATATCACATTTATATGGCTTTTTTTTTTTTTGTAAATAGTAATGCTATGAAGTGTCAATGAAGGCCGTGACTTTTTAAGAATTAAGAGGAGAGATATAGGAAAAGTACCAATCTCTTTTTGTTTTGTATTGTGTGTTATAATCAAATATCTTGTTTTAAAATGTCATAATAAATTGTATTTGTTGACGTCGACTTGAAATTTCTCTTATGTCCAAATTCCGGAATAATAAAACAAAGAATTGTGTTGTTATGTGTTTGAAAAGTCTTTGAAATGGTGCTATGTATTTACCATTGCTGAACGTTATAGCTAGATATACCTTATAGGCTCAAATGTTGTGTTAAATCTCACAAAAACATTTTATAACGCATATTTTACCTGTGATTATATCACTTTATGAGATGTCGTCTTTCTGTATTATTTTTTGTTTGTTTAAGAAAAAAATAAATATCTAATTTTTTTCCTTGTCTCAATTTTCAATACTTCAGGAAGATCAAATGTGCGTCCCAAACCACTTCATGTTCAACATTCCACTGTCTCAGTGTCGCAGCTTTAATTACGTACCGAAGGGGGAGGGGCTATCAGTATGGAAGCCCGTTTCCGCCACTGAATAAAAAATAAAAGGTAATTGCGACTTTTTATCTCACAATTCTGACTTTTTTTCTCAGAATTGCGTGATACAAACTTCGCAATTCTGACTTTTTTTCTCAGAATTGCGTGATACAAACTCGCAATTCTGACTTTTTTTTCTCAGAATTGCGTGATACAAACTCGCAATTCTGACTTTTTTTCTCAGAATTGTAAGTCTTTTCCCCCCCTCAAAACTGAACTTTAACTCGCAATTGCGAGTTTATATCACGCAATTCTGACTTTATAACTCGCAATTGCGAGTTTATATCTCACAATTCTGAGAAAAAAAGTCAGAATTGCGAGATATAAACTCGCAATTGCGAAAAAAAAGTCAGAATTGCGCGTTTTTATCTCGCAATTCTGACTTTATAACTTGCAATTGTGAGTTTATATCACGCAATTCTGAGAAAAAAAAGTCAGAATTGTGAGTTTATATCACGCAGTTCTGACTTTATTTCTCAGAATTGCGACTT